AAATGGAAGAGGCTATGATTTCAGCATGTGGGAATTCTAATAAAAATGTGGTAAATGTGAATATCTGTTTCACCTCTTCTTTAATGGTAAGAATATATTTGTGTGTTAGCTTACAGATGTTTTTCCTCAGTGTTACTGTTCAGTAATTTTGAAGAAAATGAAAGTCTTAACTGTAGTGGTGTCTAAGCCAAGAAAGGTATAAATGAAATTTATTCACGTGACCCAGTGAGCAATTACATGCATGTTACCTGTGATTTTTAATTGTGGGAAATAGTCTATAAGTATCTTTTTTCAGAACATATAAACATGTGAGAATTAGATGTACAGTTCAAACTGGTCATTCCTGCTTTTACTAATTTTGAATATATTATCTTTGATTATCCTTAACAGTCTTACAAATACATATAATTGGAGTTCTTGTCTAAGGTGAGATGCCATGTACAAAAGTTCAGTAATTACATCCATCCATGGTTTTAAATATTGTGTCTTTAGTTTGTATTCATGTAGCTTTATATTTAATGCCAAAAAGTTACTCCAATTGATTTTTCTTTTTCTTGCAGCTTTGGATCTTCAGTTTAATCAGTGATCATAATTACCGTTGTGTAGCACATATCAACTTAAAGAAAGAGCAAGAGAAATTCTGTAATAAAGTGTGGAAATCTGGCAAAGAAATAGGTAGCACAGTGCTCCTAGAATGCTGTTAATGGTGTAGTCTTGTTACTGGCTACTGAGTGTGTGCTTTTTTTACCATGAAAATTTAGTATAAGTGATAGACTTAATGAATATTAGAGTGTGGCATGGACTGAAGCTCATATGTAGTTGGGTATTGGTGTGTTTGGAAGGAATTGTGTATGTATGTATGTATGTAATAAATTCCTGGCCAGTGCATTTGTTCATAAAACATTGGATCGTGTGTACTATTAAGTATTTGATTTTTATTGAATTAATTGTCCAAGGCCTCAGTGAGAACAGAATGAGTGACTAAAAATTAATCCCATGTCAAAAGGGAGTACTATTTCTCAGTTACCTTTGAAGTTTCTAGGATTCTCTTTATTTTTTTTTCTCTTTTTAATTTTTTTTTTTTTTAATCTATACTAGTACTTTCATTATATGATATTTCTTTGGCTGTGATATTTCTATAGTGGTATAACACAGAGTATATATAAGTCTTTACAGACTGCCCTGGTAACCCCAGCAGAGTGATTCCCTGATATCAGACTGGCTTGACAGCTTTTTTTGTTGTGCCTTGTGATGGCCATGAGCAGGTGGCAGCCTTGGTATAATAGGAGGTAATCCTCTCCCTGGTGAGGAGCAGACCCCTGTCCCCTTAGCACTGCTGTGGCTTTCTTGGGGAAAGGGAAATCTGATTTCCCTTGCTTGTTGTATTTCTGGATCAATGACTGCTATATTCTTACCTGCCTAAGTGGTCCAGCTTCCATAATCTTGAAGTCCTAATTTAAGGAAAAAGACTGCTACATTTCTTGTTATTGTTTAAAATCTATAGATCTGACTTTGATGTTTGAAAGACAGCGATGTAATGTCTGTGTCTAATGCTGAATTTGATGCTAGTAGTTCTTGAGTGTGAATTACACTTGCAGAATAGATTGGAATCTATTCTGCATGTGCAATTCACATGCATTCCCATTGAAAACCTTGGTAACAGGGAACTGAGGTAGATTTCCATCTTGCTTTTGGATTATGTTGTAACTTTAGTGTCAAGGCAATTTTCAGGCCAAGTGGAAAGATACCCAGAATATTTAAGGGTTACTGGAATGTGGCTTTCAGTGTCACTTCTTGAGATGAAAGCACCTAAAAGGTGCAAACTCCTTTTCAGTCTGTAAGTAAGGTCTTTGGATTTTGTCTTTTGAAAAAAACACGTGTAATAATGAGGAAAGCTGGCTTTTAGGAAATATGCATCTTTTGAAACAGAAGTTTCTTGAGTGTGGTCTTGTTTTTTTCATGTCCACTACACATTCTCTCTTGAATCCTGTCTGTTTCCCTTGTTTCATAGTTTTTTTGATGGATGGCTTTGTTGACTTTCTTAGGTGAAGGGCAAAGTAATTCCAAGCTTTGCAAAACAGACAGCACAAAACCAGAAGGATCAGTGGAAACATCATTGCCTATCCTCTTAATTGAGCATTGTGACTATTTTGTATGTTTCCATAATGAAGAAAACACGTAAGTCCTTTAAAATAGCACCTTGTATTTGATTCAAATTTATTTCTAGGAGTTCCTATTGATTCTTGGATTATTGGATTTTCACTGTAAATTTTTATGTTTTGAAAAACACTATAGGAAAATCAAATAATGTTTTTAGTGGCATACAAGTTTTGGTGGCCTACTCTTAGGAAGATAAGTACACAAGCTGATAATTAAAACTGGATTTTCTTCTGAAAAATAAGTCCATAAAAATGTCTTTGAGAATATCCATTGTGGAATCTATTGATAGCTGATCAGGGAAGATGAGTTAAAAAGTAATTAATAAATTTATTTTGAGTTTGCTTTCCTAAAGAAACATCTGATGCAGCCACTGTGTGACTGTGTCAGTTTGCCTTCCAAATTTAAATAATTTTTGAACTACGTAACCTGCTTCAGTCAAACTTCTGTCAGAGGGACAGATATTTCAGGACATAATGCTTTTACTTATTCCCATGGAATTGGTTAGGCAGGTAGAATTAATCCTTACATTGCATTTCTTTCCTGAAGAGAAGTTTAACCATAGTATCAGGCACCTGGAGATCTGTTCCAACAAGAACTGTCCACAAGAACAACCTGTTTGTGTTGTAATTTATGATTGTCATTTGTAGAAATTTATTAGCCACATCATGTTTTAGAAAACTCTTGTCCTAACCTTTGCTCTGTGGTGGGTTATTCAGATGGAACTGATTAGTCTCTGGTTAGATATATAAATAATTCTTGACAAACAAAGATGAAAAATATCCAGAGTCCAGGACAATTTTGGTTATCTTTATGTTAAATTTAAGTAATTATTCACAGTTTTTTTCATGATGCCTGCATATTTAGAAGTATCACCATTGAGAGGAATGAAGTGCTGATTTTTAACTTGCACATCTCAGGCATACTTTAATGCAGTGACAGCACTTGAAGGTCAAATGATGAATTATTACAGTCTGTCTTATTGCTTGTATAATACCACTCTCAAAGTGTCAAAACTTTGTCCTCATCACAGCTGTAGGTTTGATTTGAACAGGAGCACGTCTTTAAACATGACAAGTTTTCTGGCGACAAAGATCCATCATGTCCCTATTGAAGTTCTTCCAGGAACTGACTCGTTCAGTTCTATTTCCCGTCTGAATTACTCTCTTTTCATATACTGGTTTTTAGTATGTTTTTTACTCTGATGGTCCAGTGCCAGCCACTATGAAGTTCCCTCCTTGGAGAGTAAATTACAGCTCATGAACAAGTTACCTCTGCGCTTCTGGATAAAGTAGTTTGTACCTTGTAGAAGGCATGCTTTGTGTAACATTTTTAACACTTGCTTTTGAAAATTTCTGAAATTCAATCTCATTTATTTTTCAATCTCCTTTTGGGACATGATTGCCTGAAATGGATCCAAAGTAATAGATTATTTGAAATAATTTTCTGAATTGAGATAACATCACTCTCCCATACCCACCTGTTACTGCTTCTCATTGTACATCTAAGATCTATTTGTTCTTTCAGCTATCACATTTCAGTTGAAGGTTTTGTTCTGCTCATAAACAACCATGACCATTAAATTCTTACTACTAATTTAATTCCATTATATTTTTGCTTGAAATTTTGTGTTTATAATTTTTTTTCTATTTATTTTTTAATAACCATGTGTTGGTTTTAGTGGGTGCTTCTGATTTGTCTGAACAGTTGAGCAATCCCTGATATATTGCTTTTCCTGCCTTCAATGAAAAGCAACAATGAAACATTTTTGGAATACTTCTGTCCAAAATTAGGCATCTCACACTTTCATAAGCTTTTTGACATTGAGCAATCTCATCACAATGGATTTTATTATTGTAAAGTGAGAATGAGTTAAACTTTTTGGATGTATCACTTTATGGTGTTCATAATAGCTTGATAGTAACGCTTCTTTATAAATAATTCAAAGAATTTACAAATTAAACCAATCTGTTACTGCTGTAATGAAAGTAGTGCAAACCACAAATAAAACTATTCATATCACATAAAAATATCACAAACCAGATATGAAACTGTCTATTCCAGTCTGCTTCTTAACATATTTGACTACAAAAATTTGTGGTTTTTTCCCTTTTTCCTTATCCTTACTTCAACTCTTGTGGTCTGATTTTAAAAAATTAAACTAATAAATCTACTGACTCCTATTTGGAAATTTTATTAAATGTTGATATTAATTTTTATTTATTGTGGCATCAAAAAATTTTTAGTTTTTTGGAGACTGACAAGAGTTATTTTATTTCAATTATCTTATGCTTGATAATATATTTCTTCTGTGAGGGTGTTGACTGAATTGTAACCAGTTGGTTTACTCTGTGGTGCTTGCAGAAGCTGGATTTTATTACTCAACTGCAATAGTGCTGCCACCAAGCACAGGCTGAGACAGACATTCCAGACTTGCCTGGGGTTTTTTCCCCTCAATTTGTGCTGGTTTTTCTCTTGTACTTTAATTGTGTAAAAACATACATTGAATTTCACTGTGCTTTGTGTGTTCATATGAGTGGTAAAAGTAAACTATAAGTGGCTTTGCCTCTTGTTTTGAATTTTCTCTTTGTGCATACCATGCTTTTACAACATCTTACAAACCACAGTAATTTTTGAAGAAAAGTATTTCCTGTGCAGTTTTAGATGTGCTATGAAGCACTTAAATGAAATCAAGGATTGTGTTCTGCTTTTAGTTTTCAAAACTTCACCATTTTTGTTTGAAACTTTAAGCTACAGGTTGGGAAAAAAAAGCTTTGAATTTAATGTATTTTTTTATGTGTGTGCTTTATTATTGTGGTACTGGGCCTGGGCAATGAGCATTAAAAAAATCCAGCTGCTGTTTGGTGTATGGAAATGAGAAAATCTCCTTTATCCTACTCAGAGATATTTTTCTCCTTGTTTTAACAGATATTCTTCCCAGAATACTTTTTTTTGGATAGGGACTTCTACTGGCTTGTTAATAATTAATCTGGCAAACTTTGAATTAGAAGCTGTTTTATCTTACAGAGGTATGTTTATAAGATATATGATTACACCATTAGGTGATTGTTTTTGTTATCTGACAAAAATAGTGTAAGAATTAGGTTGTGAAATAGCAGAATACAATAGAAACCAAGTGTTTTTGAAAAATGGTTTTTTTTCCCAGTAGTTTTTGTATGTTTTCCTGGCCCTGGTGACTTTTTTCAGAAGATGTATTGGCACTAGATCTGTGTAGCAATTAATTTTTATTCAATTTTGCAGTTCAGAAGTGTTAAATACAAGAAATGTTACTCTACTCCATTATAATTTGAGGGTAAGATAGAAGTATATTCTCTGAAGACAGTGGATTAGGATCATGTCAAATTAGTATGAGTGATTTTTTGTGTGTGTCATAGAGATAAGTTTTTCTTCTGAAATGCAGATATTATTTTATAGCACTGTGTTCTTCTTGGTAAAGATTACAGTGACCTCAGCATTCAGATTGCCAGATCATGTGCATTAACAAGGAAGGCAGCTAATGGAAAGGTGAGTATACACTAAGCATTGCTTTAATAAATGTGATTTATTAAATAAATTTTTAAATTATGCTATTTTCAATAAATATTAATTACACATTTTGCTTTATTTAATGTGAATTACACAGTAATTTCTTTGAAGAGGGTTGATTCTTCATTATGGAATCTGCTAGTTTGAAGCTGTCACAGCTTATATACAGTTTAAAGCGATTAATAAGGAAAAGGTGAATTGTTACAGTGTTCAGGGTGTACCTTGAATATCAAGAATGACTATTGGAGAAGCAGAGGAAATGTTTTAAGGGAAAAAAAAAAATAAAGATTGTTATACCTTGTTTCTCAAAAAAATGTTAGGATGTGCTATTTCTGAATCCTTCTAAGAGATCTGTCAAAACTATTTGGGTTGTGAGAAAATTTCTGTTGAAAGCCACTAAAAGTGATTTTAAGAAAATGGAAGGCATTCGTATCTGTATACTCTGTTTTCGATGTTGCAGTTTTCCTACAGAAGTAAGCTCAGTCTAGGCTACATATTTAACATAGAAGTCTTTTGCTTTAGAGAAGGATTTTGTTTAAATTCAGCTCTTAGCATGTTCTCATTATGTTGCTGAAGCCAATTTTCCCTGTGTACTTCTTTTCTCACAACTCTTACTGCAGAATTGTCTCTAGCGTAGGTGGTGTTGGAATTTCTGTCACTATTATATATGTAAGTTTGCTAAAACACATTTAAGCAACATAGGCATATTTTTGAAGGATAGTTTTAAACACTCTACCACTTAATGCTCTTCATGGCTAAATCCATTAATATTTCGGACTATTTTTATAAATTTCAGAAATTTATTTAATTTTTCCTTATAAATGCAATATGTTTTGAACTTAAATTATGAAGTAAATGGAATGTGGGAATTGCTACAGGTTTTATGCTTGATCACCTCGATGTTTGAAGATATGATTGCTGTGTTGGAAGTTAACCTTGCTGCATTGGTGAGAACTCAGCACAGTGGTATTCTCCCATGTGGAAATGAGAAAAGTCTATCAGTTTTTGCCAGGTACAGAATAATTAAATGTTTTCTCTCCATGTTGAATTATAGATTTGTTTATCTGGCACTAAAGTGCGTCATATGGTTCTCTGCAGTACTACTTGTTGACATGGTTTGATTTTACTTCTTTTCCTATCATGCTTTAGTTGTATAGAGATGGAGAAATCACAGAATCAGAGAATGGGTTTGGAAGGCACCTCTTCATGTCATCTTGTGCAACTACCCTGCTCAAGCAGAGCCACTTGGAGTAATTTTCCCACCACCATGTCCAAACCACTTTAGACTATGTACACCATATTCTAAAGAGGGAGAACCACAACCTCTCTGGGCAGCCTATGCCAGTACTCAGTCACCTTCACAGTAAATAAGTGTTTCCCAGTGTTCAGAGAGAACCTCCTGTGTTTCATTTGTTGCACATTGCCTCTTGTGCTGGTTTAGGACACAGAGCCTGGCTCTAGAGCCTGCCTTACAGCCTGTACTGCTGCATGGGCTCGTTCCTCCTCTGCTGCAGGACTTTGTCTTTCACCTTGTTGAGCTTCACAAGGTTGATGTCAGCTCATTTATGCAGACAATAAATGTCTCCCTGGATGACAACACAACCTCTGCTCTTTCAGACACTCCTCTCAGCTTTGAGTCATCGGCAAACATGGTGATGGTACACTCTGCTCCTTTATCCAGATTATTAATGCAGATGTCGAATGGAATTATACCCATGAAATCATATGGAATGCAGTTATAACCTCTGGGTTACTCCACTGGCTCCTGCTTTCCAGCTAGACTTTGAGCCACTAATGATCACAGTCTAGGCCTGGTTGTTCATCTGGATTTCAATCCACCTCACTGTGTTCTCATCCAGACCACAGTTCATCAGCTTCCCTGTTCTTATGGTTCTTATGGGAGACAGTGTAGAAAGTCTTACTGAAATCAAAGTAGACAATATGCACTGCTCTCTGCTCATCTGCCAAGCCACTCATTTTGTCACAGAAGTTTATCAAACTGATCAAGCATGACTTCCCCTTGAAGTATCCCTGCTGATTATTACTTTCTTGTCCTTTATGTCCCGAGAAATGATTTATGAGAAAATGCTGACATCTTAAAAATGACAAAACCCCTGCAATATACACTGAAGAGCAAATTTCAGTGCTTATAATAAAATCATCAGTTAATATTCACCAAACTGGGATGTAACATGTAAAAGCAATGGTCTGCAAATTGAATCAGGGCCGAGACTTGTCTGTGCTGCTGAGTATCTGAGCTGATAAATGGTCCACTATGCCTAACTTGTTTTCAGTAAATTCTCATTGCTATTGCATGTGTAAACACACACATGGAGATAAATAACTAAAAAGGAGTTTTGACATCTTTTTCTAATCTGACATTTTTGTTCATTGCATTCATTGATCAATTTTTTGTTCTTCACTTTATAACTTAGGTGTACTTTATTGGCAAGTTCTCCATTGTGTAAAGGTTTAAAGAAGAACATGAAAGAACCTTCTAGGAAAACAGTTGGTAAGTGTAAACCAATCCTGAAATTAATAATAAAGTTATATTTTTAGTAACAGTAACTGACTTCTAGCTGACTTGTGCCTAATACAATCAGTATGTTAATTTTTGTTTTAAAAATATATTACATTGTATTTTTACTTCAGTAGGAAGAATTTTACACTTCTATTAACATTTAATATCATACACATGTAATTGTAGTTGAAAACTGTGGTTATAAGTATTTTTATTTTTTCAAAAACCATTGTCTGAGAACTTCCTGTGGATTTTAGAAGTGTTAGAGTATATAAGGTTTAAATTTTTGTAAGTCATTCTTTTTCCATAGCATGCAGTAAATTTTTCTGTATAATTTGTCATTTCTTTCTTAACTTTGGTTATGATATACACCAAACAGATGTTTTCATATATTTTATTGTTCTGAATAATCTTCTGCCAATACTGGATGTTTAGGAAATTAATTTTTGTCTCAATAATCTTGATACTATTACTGCTTAAAAAAGAGAAGATCTGACATCCACTTGCCATTGAACCACTTGTAACTTTTTTGGTTAGCAACAATAAAGTTAAAAAAATATTTTTAAAAAGTGTTTTTCATCCTCTCCATAGACACTTACTGTGCCCATTAGAATGTCAAAGGTTATATCTCTAGGGATTTATGGTATTTTCAGAGTACATCTAGAGAGTTTTAGCTAGAATTCCAGGCTGCCTGGGACAGCCAGCACTGACAACTGTGCTGCCTTTGTTGACATCTCATGATCAGAGAGATGAGTGCTGTAATGAAATCCTTTGGTCTCTTAAGGCATCTGGTACTGGGAGCTTCTCAGGAAGGGCCTTTTCGTTCCTCATTGCTGCCTAAAGAGAAAGGATACTTAGTGGCTTTTGAAGGGACTTCTACCCTCAGCAGAGGTGAATGTATCCCAATGTATCTGAGTTTTTTCCCTGGGAATAGCAACAACATTTCCCACTTTACAATGTTAGTTTAGTTTGTTTCCTGCTGATATGAAACACTCCGTTTGGAGCTGAGGGTGCCCTCTGGGCTTCTTAGTACAGCACTGGGCATGCAGACATTGCCCATGACCTGAGCTGTGTAGGGACACAAATAGATACCCACCAGTCAGCTTGTTAATGATCTTTAGATCCATTCTTTAGTCCAAATATAGGATGTGAATACATTATAGCTAATGCATACAAAATCTAAGAAGAGGCAGTTAGAAAACACATTTTCTAACTGAAATGATGAAAAACGTGATTCAGAAGAATATTCTTGCTACTTCAACCTTTAAAGAGGTTCCTACTCATTCATGGTATTGGAGGAGGGATGTTTCACAATGCAACAGTTCATATATCTATCCTTTTCTCAGTAATCATTATTTTAGGGTGATTAGGGTGATAGAGTTTTGTAACATAAGGAAACATCAAGTATTTATAATGTGAAAAAACTCTCTACTATAACTGTAAAAATATAATGTTAAAAACATTTTAATGTAAATTAAATTATTTTCCTACAGGAGTGACAAACACGGTGAAGGATAAACCATTGGTTTTCCATAATAAAATTAAGTCATCAGGATATACAGCAGCACCACGGTGAGTAGAAATGTTACTGCTTTCCCTGTCTTATTGGTGTGTGATTTTTTCCACACAACTATGTAGTCTAATGATTGTGAAATGAATCACCTGTGAAAAACAATTATGATGTTATAAAATAAAAAAAAATTTAAAAACATATTGTAAACCAAAATGTTCACAGCTTCTGGTCATTGGCCAACTTCTTTTTAAAATCCACATTTGGCATCCTGATTCTTTCATCTAGCTAGACTCTTGTTTTTTCAGCTTGCAGAAAGAATTTTCTAAAAACTGTATTTGTATGGATTTTGTCCTTCAGAATGTGCTATTCAACAAATAACTCACAGAAGTCAAGGTCCAAACTCAGGCATTAGAATATTAGACGTTTATATTGTCATCAAAGTGTACATTCTTTTATCTATTGACATTACCCACAGATATAAAAAGCAAGAAGGAAATAGAATAGCTTTCATTTGAAAAAAAAGTGTTTCTCCCATGCAAGATGTAATGTTTCATGTAAGAGTGTCTGTTTTCTCTCTCATAGAATGACCATGTTTTCTCCAAATACTAACCTGAAAATAAAAGAGGCATCAAAGTGGAAGACCAATTGTAAATGGTAGGTAATCTAACGACTGTTAGAGTAGGAACATATTAAAACAAATTAAACAAATTAAAAATGCTTCTGTCATTGAAACTTTTTAGTAAAGGCTGCAACAAGAACTAAAAGGGTTGGTAAATTTGATAGAAAATTTATCATTGCAGCAAGTGATTTGGTTTATCAGACTGTGAAATAAATTTGAGTGCTTCATATAAAAGAAAATATGCATATCTATTTTCTTAGATTTGTGTTGGTAGGAAGAACAGGCGCTAAATATGGTAGGAAGCTGAGTCTCAACATGTTGTTAGGCTGCAGTTCTAGTCTGAAAAATAACTGAATGTGGCACAGGGAGAAATGATTTCAGATCATGTCCCTCATTCACCCCTAAGATTTTGTTACCTTAATACAAACTTACTCCAATGGATATAAACAGAGTATGTGTAATAGTACAAATTGACCAGTGGAATCTTTATCAGTGATCACAAAGAAAAAATGTTTTTCTAAGGGTGGTGTATTCATGCTAATTTGTGTGGAATGTTAAATGGGGATATTGCACACATTTTTTTCTCTTTACAGTTATATAGAGTCTTTGTTTTATATAATACAATCATGAACGTAAAGAATGATTGATGCCATAATTTTTCTCATTTAAAAAGAGCTGTTGAAGTGTTAAGAAACCCACTTAATAGCTCAAGACTAAACCTTGTATACCTTGCACACATAGAAAGCTTTTACATGAGTGCTTCAGATAATTTCAACTTTGGTTTAGCACTATTTTATATAGGTTAAGCTACTTAGTATTTTAAGTTTTGTGTGGGTTTTTTAGTTAAACTGCTTTTTTGTTAGTTAATATTGCATTTTGTCACAAGGTCTTTGTAAGCAAGATAGAGTTTACAGTATTCTTTAAATACTTTTGATAGCTATGTTACTTAAGAAATTTTTTTTTTGCCAGACTATGTTAATTTTTGGTCTTGTGAATTCACAACTCATCGTGGTAGCAGTAGTTTAAATATGACAATTTAAAATTAATTTGACTCTTACCTTGGATTTGACAATTTTTTTCCAGCATATTTTTATGTAAAGATGTTTAGAATAGTTCCCAAAGCCACATTTATTTCATAACTGAAATGAAAATGCACTGGTTTATTTATTTTTTTCCTTCTTTTAAGTAAAAATAAAGAATATCCTTTGGAAAATCATCCTCCAATCAAATATGAGAAAGAGATAGCTGCTACTTGTAAACCAACTCCAATTTTTTCTGTTCAATATTCTGGTAAGTACAGGCTTTTAAAAAGTGCAGTTTTGTCAGGATGCGGAAAGAAATCCAAAATTTGTGTGGCAAAGTTTCTAAAGACTGGGGATACTGTGGATAAATTCACAGAAAACTTTCTGGCAGTACTGCATACTTTATACTGATATTTTTTTTTCTTGTAAAACCATGTAAGCTGTTACTACATAGGCATCAGGATTCTATTTCTGATCTTATATCTTGTTTCCTTTTGAATTTATTTCTTGACTTTCCCACTACTACTTGAAAATTAAGAGTTCTTTCACTAAGGAATTTATTTTCTAACACATTTACTTAGTTTCATCAGGGTGTATTAAATACTGACCTTCTGTTTCAAAATACTAATATTTAAATTTAAATAAATATTATTCAATTATTATAAATTGAAATATTAAAAAAGGAATTCTTCTGTATGATCCAAAGACAGGCATTTTTCTTAACTGCCCTGGATAAATGACTCTTGCAATAGGTTTAGTCAATTCCAATATAAGTAAGATTAAGCAGAAAGCATTTCCTAGATTAGCAATCAAGCATTCTGTCATGTATATAATAATGTTAATGTGGACCCTGCAAGGCAAAGTATTTTCAAAATATTTCAAAACGTAAATCTTTGTAAGTATTTTGAGGACAAGAACAACTTTCATCCTCAGAAAATAAAAGCAATTAGATGCAATCAGTAACTTTGCTAAAATATATTCCATCTATTTCTGCTCCTTAGAGAGTTTTTGTAGTACATTTTAGGTATAAATCTTCTTTTAGTCTGAGGAAGAAACGTCTTTATTCTTTTCTCTCACATGTCCATACATGCACACACAGGTTTAAATAACCACAGTTTATAAAAAAATTTAGATTTTTTTTTTTTTTTAGTTAAAAAATTTCGTTATTTAGAGAATAAGTCAGGACAAGAAATGAATTAGCCTACAAAATCCAAGCAATTTTTTCAGCACTAATTTTGATGTTCATACAAAATCAGCATTAAACATATGAAATGAATATCTGTTTTTTGTTTTGTTGTAGTGACATGCATGATTTTTATGATTAAAAGAAGCAGCATATTAGCTCCTTTTTGCTTTCAGTCATAAACCATTGGATGCTCTTCTTTATAGGGGATGGAGAGCTGCTGGCTTGTGGCCAGGCTGATAAAACTGTGCTGATATTCAATTCCAATCTCACTGAAGTGCATAATGTTTTTTCAGGTAAATTTTGGAATTAAATTATAAGGGATATAGTATATGGTTGAGTTTGATCTAAAATGGCATGGATTCCACTTACATCACCCTGATAACAAGAGAGAGTGAGTACTGATGATTCAAGATGCAAAATTTATTTCTCTGATTGCTTAGTTTTGTTCTAGAATTAAGCTGACTACAAGGTGTTCCCATTTCTCAATTTTTTGTGAGGTAAGAAGTTATCTATGAGATATATATTGAAATCTTCATCTTGATGTATATTACAATAATTAAAGAGAAGCAATAAAGGCAATATATTACAATAATAATACATGTGTCTATTGTAGTAATATATTCTGATAGTTTATTAGCCAAAAATTGACTGTGATGACTTGGCAAAAGATGTGTTTGCTTTGAAACTCCAGACTTCTAGAGAATAACCATCTAAACAAAGAGGGACTGTTCCTATGAAGAAATCCACAGCTACAGAGGTGTATTCATGTGTAAACATATATACTTTTAAATGAGTCTTAAACACCAGATTATGTCTAAATTTCTACAGGAACGATCTGTTAAATTTTTAATAACCATAAGTGTTATGACTTTTAATCAGTGCTGCTAAATTAATTTTCTGTGAAAGCTCATAATGAAAAATGAATGGTTTTTACTAGCTGACCCAAATAAGTATTAAAATTGGACTACTTAAAAATGTTTTAGATAATTATTTCAAAGTAAATAACTCTGCAACTGATTTATGAAAACAGTTTTTCTTTTTGACTAATTTTCATTATATTTAGTGGAAGAAGTGACAAGTTGTGACATTAAGGAGGCAACATTACTGGAATTGTGAATTATTCTTGTGTGAGGAAATTGATGAAAATATGCCTTGTGGACAAAATAATAGGATCTTTTTCTTCTACAATAACAAGTTCTTGAGATTTTCACTGATTTTTTTCATTGACGCCTTTAACAATTTGTGTCTTTTTTGTTTTAATGATGCACAAGTCTGAAAACCAATGTAAATCACATTCTACTATGCATGTAGTCTTATCAAAAGCAACATAAATGTTGAACTGCCAGGTAAAATAAAGCATAGGATTAGGAACCACAAACCATTAGTTGCCTGCTTGTTTCATTTAGATTGCTCTCCTGTGCCATTCAGATTACCATGCAGTCGTTTGTTTACTTTCTACTTTTGATGCTCTTGTTTTAGAACTGTCATAATATATGCCTTTATATGAAAAAACATGATCATTATTCTTACTTAGAGCTGCAGTCAGTGGCAATGTAAAATTTTCTTTTTTCCAAGAAATAGAAATTGTACTTATTCTGCTAAATTTTTCAGTTTCAAGGTAGCATTAACATATGAATATTGCTTCTTATCAAAAATCATGGCTTTATAAGCCAGCATCAACGAATGGTATCACAACAGTCTTTCTGTTAGCCTGATTTACTCAGTTGTGTTCCCTGAAGGGTTCAGTTACAATTTTAAGTAGTTCTTCAGTGGTGACTCTTCAGGTGTCTGTGTCTTGTAGTGAAGTGCAGGTAATGTTGAACAGCTGCAGAGAGTTACAGCCAGCATGGCCTTTCCGAAGAAGTCTTTTTACAAAACCAGCTGCTATTCTTCTCAATGTGCTCCAGGACTGGGGAACCCTGAGTAATGCCTGTTTTGAATTTTACTGGGCTCTTTCAAGCCAGCTGGCATCTCCTTCACTGTGCTTTGGGACTGAGGGGCCTAGAGAGCAGAGATTCTTAAGCTTTTTGCATGGCTCTTCCAATTTTCCAGAACTCAGATTTTCCTAAAGTTTCTCAGGTTCCTTACTACTTTGGAAAACTGTTTTGTATATTCTGTTGTGGTTTTATTTTTTTTTTGTTTCTTTGATTGGTTTTGTGCTTTGTTTTGTTTTTTCTTTAATGCAGATTATTCAAGGATTGCAAATATTTTTAGAAAATCAAAGCCTTTAAATAAAGCTGTGTTGTGAACAAAATAAGAATAATACTTACATGTGTATTTGTGCAGTACCTGTTCAGCTTTCTGGTAAAAATTCTACAGCTGTTTGGTAACTGGGAATTAAAATACCTTATTTTTAAGACTTTTTGTAGACATATGTCTGCAAAATGAAATATCTCAGTGGCTGTGATACATTAAATACCCTTCCTGTAATTTAAAGCAAACTATTTTTTAATACAGAACTTCTGTTGACCAAAGAAAAAATGTGCACAAGAGGGCAGCATAAGAACTTTGAATGTTTTAAGGCTAGCTGAAATTCATCAGACTTCATCTGACAAATTGCAATAGCATGCATCGAAGTCTGTAAGATTTGTCTGGCATGTTCTTTTTTCATCTTTTTTATCAGCTTCAACATAATGTTAGATCAAAATAGTAATTTTAGGTTTTGAATATTATTTCTGGCTTTTAAAATTTTTTCTTTGTAAGTTTACAATCTTGTTTTTAACAAGACATTGAAGTGGCATGCTCATCTTCTTTTGAAAAAAAATAACTAGCTCAGTAATAAAAGGTTAATAAATAAAACAAAGCATTTCAACTATTTTTGATGTCTTAAGAGGTTTCCAGACCATGTTTAATAAAAAATTTCATTATAATATAATACTCAAATTCTTTTTGCAATACCGAGTCTTTGCTTAAATTTAAGTTCAAGGATGTTTCTTGAAAGTGCTCTTCCAATAACTTTGAAAAATTAGGGTTGGAATTATCTTTTTTTGTTTATTAATGAAAGTCGCTTTCCTGTGGTTTTTGGTGGAAGAAAATTTTAATAGCTGGTTCACTGTTACCAATTTTAATCCAAACATTTGAAACCTGTACTTAGAATGTATTTTAATGTTGTGCACAATTATATGAAAACAATACAAGTAACTCCAGAGAAATTTATTAATGAAAGAAATGAGCTTTATGATATTTCCATTATTATTTTTATTAGGTCATGATGGTGCAGTTAACTCTGTTGGCTGGAGCCATGACAGGAAGTGGTTAGTTTCTGCATCAGAAGACAGAACTTTAAGGGTCTGGTCAGTCTACAATAAGGAACCTGCCCTAATTCTGGTAATTGGAAACTTCCATTGGTTTGGACACAGAGAACACTGTTTTGCACTTTCATCCACTTCTGTTTTAAAAGTTTTGTAGAAAGAACCAATTTCTAGAGCTACTGAGTGGTGACTCCCACAGATAAAATGATCTGGGTGATCTCCACTGACTCCAAATTGAAGTTTTTCTCATGGTAATTTAGGAAAAGAAAAAATAAACCTTGTTAAAAAAAACCAACCCTATTAGGCATGTCTGGAAGTTTTGGTTTTATTGTCTGGTCTGTACATTGTATTTTCTTTGGCTCAGCTCTGCTTGACTTTAGTCTACTCCCCAATTAAAAAAGAAATTCAGTGTATGAAGCTAGATTGTATTGGATCCAATTGACTACAGATACACTGCCAGCTAATTTAAGCTGAGTGAAATATTTTCTTTTAGAGTAATAGATGTCAAAAATAAGAGGGGCTACTATGTAGTAGTTTAAGTGTCTGGCCTATGATCAGGATGACAGGGAGGCACTGCCTTAACACGAGGAATCTCAGACAAAAAATACTTATTTGAATCCATTCTTAATAAATTCCTTTATGTTTCAGGGTAAAGAGAAGTTCCATAAGACTGTACGCTTTGCACAGTTTTATTTTATAGATACATTTATATTGCTGTGTTGTGGAGCTGAATTTCATCTGCTAAGTTTCCATCTAGATCCCACCAAGGATGACCTAAAACGGTGAGTTAATTTCTCATTAACAGACCAGTGAAAGTACTCATACAGTTTGATCTGGGATTTTGTGTGTGGTGAGGTGAGCTGAGGGGGCAAAAATATTACAGTAAATAAAAAACTGAACAAATAGTAAAATCTAGTTGCAAAATATCTTTGTTTTGAATGGGAGAACAAAAAGAATTAGGGCTACATCACTGAATATCGCTTAATTGATATTGTAAAGGGTATGTCCTGTCTGTTGATGATATTAGACAGTATTGGGCTGTATCCTTAGATGGGAAAAACTGGTCTATTTTCCTCATCTACTTCCTTGGCAGTTTTGCTGCTGCACAGGAAAGCATACTAAGCACAATCTTAAATGTGTTTAGGAATAGGAGTGCTTTCTTGAATTGAGGCATGTGTAACTTCACTGAAACGTTGAATTGTCAGACGGAATTATATAATACTTTTCTTCCATAATCTGCTTATGTAGTTTGTTTTACTCATTAATTCTTAGTTTATGGAGATATTAATAAACCTAAAAAGGTAAGCCAAATTGCTACATAAACTTCAATTTCTAAGAGAAGAACGACTGTACAGCGTCCAACTCAGTGTATCCACAGTACCTGCCAGAATTTTAAACGAGTTTTGAGCTTTGAATTGAACATGTATAGGACATGGAGCAAATATATTGTGTCAAAAAAAAAAAACAAAACAAAAACTTAAGCATACTAAAATTCCTCTTTTTTTAAAAATAATAGGTACTCTTCTATTCCCCTCCCTCCCCTCCCTGTTACTTGGTTCAGTTTTGTCATAACTTGTATTTGATGAATCTCAGTTTACTGTTGGTTGATTTGCTTTCTATATGAAATTCTACCTAAGCCATAGCCTGTGAGGTATTTATTTATCTGTGTAGCAGTCTGCAGTGTAGAAGCAAGGTACTTCAGCCAATTCAAACAATTGTTCTTGCATTTGGGAACAACCTAAACATTTTTATCAGCCTCTTTCAGCAGGGTAAATTGGACCAGAGGAAACTTCATACTGCCTTCATTAGATTGTACCTATTATATCAGTCAGCTTATTTAAAGTTAGCTTGGGTAGGTTACCCAAAACCAGTGATAAATCATTTGCTCTTGAAGTATAGTGCACTTTATTTTTTAGTTTATTTGAATAAAGTGCTTGTGGAAACTACAAATGTTCTTGGATTAAATTGCAAATTTAATTAATTAATTTAAATTGTATATTATGCTCTGCTTCTCCATCACTGCTAAAGCAGTTCTGATGTCCATCTGAAAAGATCAGGAGACCGTTGTTAGAGAGAATAAAAATGAAAGGCAAAAACCAAGTCACTAAGCATTTTCCTTTTGAACAGATCTGGCTGACAACCATATTGCTTTTGTCAAATGATTTCAGATTTGAAAACTTTTAGCATTGTTGGAAAGGAACAGTAATGATTCCTACAGAATGTCATGCATGAACTTTTGCACTTTCATGCACACGAAGCTAAAGCGCAAGTATAATATTTATTGTTGCACAGGAATTATTTTGGACACTGCAGACAGTGTCCAGAAATGGCTAAAACCTGGTGTGTTATCAATGCTGGTTTGATCTCAAGTCCAAAACACAGCACCATACAAGCCACTATGAAGAAAATTAACTCCACCCCAACCAGACCCAGTGAAGTTGTTATTAACTCTGTATTGCTAAGGTGACTTTTATGAAAATCATGCTCTTCTTGCCCAATATATCCATATCCATATCCATATCCATATCCATATCCATATCCATATCCATATTCATGGAGTTATTTTTTCTGTTTACTGTAAGAATAGATCCATGTTGCCTATGTGAATATATTTCAGTAATCAGAAAGTTCTAATTATATTGAATAACAATACAGTTTTGTGTTATGCAATATAAAAAAAGGCTGAAGCCATTTTAGAGGTTTGACATGTTTGTCACCTCTGCATGGAGCTGGCAGGTAACCCAAAGGACCTTAAATAGTTCTCTGTGTGTTGGGAAACAAAATGTCTTTGGTAGTGTGTGATCTGCACCTTATTCTCTTCCCATCTAAGTAGAAATTATTCTTTCCTCACTGTTTTCATTCTTTCCTCACTGTTTTCTCCTCATTTTCTTCCTGATTGCCCTATCATCAGCACATTAAATGCTACACTGAAACCAGTGGGATATCTGCTTTCTGAACATGGGTACTTTACAGACTTTTTCTCTTCAACATTTCCAGTATACATACAGGAATGTTTTAGAGTTTCATGTTGATGAAAGATCAATCTTCTGTATATGAATATCATGGGTTTTTTCATCCAAATGAGTTTAGTTACCAAGTTTTTTAATAGAGGTTGACAATAAGGCAAAAGATCTGTTGCTTTAATTTTTAATAATGAAAGAAAGCATTTTGATTTGTGGTTCAGTGGGAGCTTACTGGTGACTACAAATCGTAACTCATTTCATTAACAGTAGCATTCATTTGATATTATTTGCAGATACAAACAGAGGAGTGTTTGCAAATTGGTACAGAAATTTCCCATGACTTCAACAATGGAGATTACCAGTCTTTCAGCAGTAAATGAGTTCTATTCTTGTATCCTTTTTATTTCTTATTTTCTTTGTAGTCCTTTTGACTTAATGACATGGACATCAGCTAAAGTAAGTAGCATTTGATTATTTACTACTCCTTTTCTATTAGAGTAAAAAAACTAGTAATTTTTTGTGATGTTGAACTTCATCCTTATGTGTAAATTTTTAGTGCTGTAAGATTTTTGGTGTTGTTCATAGAGCAATAAATAGAACAGAGTTTATGTATCTATTTATGTATCTGTATTTTTATCTGTCTATATGCTTTTGTTCCTTTAGATAAGTTTGACTTTAACACAGAGAACTGTACAGATATTGTACTTACAGCTGGCAGCAACCGAGCAGTGGAAGTTTTTGATCTCAATGCAGGCTGCAGCGCTGCAGTGATACAGGAAGCTCATGTTAGATCAGTCCATCAGATCTGCCAAAATAAGGTATGTACTTTATTGAATTGTATTTGCAGTACCACTACAACATCAACAACAAAGAAATCAGAGGCTAAAAGTAGAATTGATAGTAATTGACAAGTTTTTATACATTGGGGAGGATGGGCAAGAACATGAGTCTGTGTGGTAGGTCCATACAAATTTCATTTGTTCTCTAGTGTAAAGGAGGGAGCAGTGAGACTGATTGAATGATCTTGCTATTAGAGAAGTGTTTATTATCTTTTGCATTACTTGTGCTAGACTGTAATACTGTAGTTCAACAGGAATTTTTTCTTATGTAAGTGTTCTCTTCAGGAGCTCAATCTGACACTGTGTGATTTATTCTGAAACTTTAGAAACAGCAAACAAACAAAAAAATTTCTCAGTACTACCATAGAAGAGATGACTTAAAACCCCTCACCCTTGCTCTTATTTTTTCCTTGAAGACAGATTTGAGTGTTTGTAGTTTTTATAGTACCATATGTTCTGGAATGCCTGCTGTGTTAGGTCTGGTTGAATGTGGTGCTTCATTCCCAGTTGGAAAGTCCTTGCTTCTGTGGGTTTAAAACAGTTCCTTGTTATTACTGTTGTAGAACTCTTTGTGGGCTTTCCTTATAGATGTGATCTGGTAAAACACTTAAAATTGTGCTAACTATTTCAATACTGTTTGTAATGCATATGGGCTTAAAATTCTGGCTTTTCTTTTTGCTGGGTCAGCTTAGTGCCTTCAGGTTATTTAATCATGAAAGACTTTAAAGCTGTGGGCAAGTAATCACTTGGGAAAAAAAACCTAGTTGTATGTGGTATAGCAAAGAAAACTGACCATTTTGGAGGACAATTATGCATCAAGGTTTTCCATTTTTTCTCAGTTATATAAAACTAGTACTTTAGATGAATCAATAGGAAAATTACACATCAACTATTTTATTACATTGGATAGTTTAAAGTTATTAGAGCAAATATAATTTGCATTTTCTTTAAGATGATATGCTAAAATATTTTATAGACATAAATATATGCAGAATGCTGTGTACAAACTACATACCACTTAAAGTATGAAACACACCGGACTCTAAGATTCTCTAGTGATGAGACATGATTCAGTGGAAACAAATCTGTGGAGAGAAACAGTTCATGCTGAAGATCCAGTTCCTTCACCCCAAAATTTATGAAGCCTTTCCTCTGGGCTATTCATAGTCTCATTGTGCAAACTAAATATTCATTTGTGATGGCTGTATATATATTCTTGAAGTGCATTTTCTAGTTTAGATTAATGCAAATCAGTTCTCATGTTCCAAGACCATTTTCTAATTCCACCTGGACAATAGTAAGTGGGCATAATCATTAAATTTACTCTTTAAATGAATGAAAAAGAAAACCCATTTTGAGGGTCTTGGGAGACAATAGGGAAAGTATGTTCCAATTAAATGTGGGAGAAACCTGTTAGAAAATTATAAAATACATGGAATATCCTAGAAACCTAGATGATCAGCATGAGATACTCTTATTTTTTATTTTAGACAGAAACAGCTGTAGCAAGTATATATAATTAGCCATGTAATTACTTTGATTTTAAATTGTTCTTTTGATCTGTTCTAGAGATTGTTTGCAATTGCCAGTGTGTGAAATACATCTCAACCTGCACCGTGTGGATTAAACTTATTATGAAAGTCCGTTGCTTTTTATACTAAATTTTAAGAGACATAGTAAAATGAATTTTGATTGAAATATCAAAATCATCTTCCTATCTTAGAGTTTAGGAACATCTGATATATTGAAATAGATGGCAACTTGAGACCAGACCACTAAATTCAGGGCTTCAGTGTTAATAATATGTTTGTAATGCTGCAAAACATAATCTTTCAACAGGAATCAGTCATTATGAGCCACAAATATTTGGATGATATTATGGTCTGCTAGCACAGTTATAGAGTACACTCATTTTCACAGAAACAGCAAGATTTTCAGTTTTCTGTTCAGAATGTTTTGTTTCAAAATTCATCGGTCCATTAGTTAAGAAGTCCGCTTGATGCGAAGACTGAAAAATGTAATGGGTAACTGGAAAGTTTCAGTCAGTTAACATTTTCCTAACCATAGCTACAATGTTGGCAAAAGTATAAGAGCACCAGAAGATATGGAGTGCTTTCCTATATGTCTATTGATCGATGCCTTTAGCATAAACCAGCTGCACTCCTTGGATGACATAAATGGTGCTGATACGGAATTAGTGAAGGAAAGAGGGATTCTGTAGAGCCATGTCCTCCTTGAGGCCAAATTTTATGTGAAGGTTGCAATGTAGTTAATCTAGAGAGAAGCTGAGAAGGGATTACAGAGGAGGGATTATAGGAGGATGATGGGGCAGATGAAAGGGATTTGTCTATCAGAATGAAAGGACAGTTTCAAGAGTGTGGGGAATATGCTACATTTTGCATCAGATTCTAATAAACAATAGATTATCATAAATTGATGGACTATAGAAAACACAAAATGTTTCAAATTCAAATTCGGAAAGTGATTGCATATTATCTCGACTAGTATATATTTTTGTCTTCTATATCAATATTTAGTAGCAAATGTAGTTTGAAGATACAAGTATGAATAAAGTATATTGCTGACAAAATTTCAAGGCAGAGGAGGAAAAAAATTGATCACACTTCTTATCTTTAGTTTTTTACTGTATTCTGTGTATTCTATAGTAAAGGAGTAATGCACAAAGTAAATATTTATGCATCTGAAGAACTTTTTATTTTGGACTCTGTGACCAGTGCTGACTGAAGCAAAGGATGGCGAGCAAAAATTTCAAAAGCACCAAATAGGGCTCTCTGTAACTTTTAATGGATACTGTCCTTTGGACTACTACCATCTTTGTCTTTTGCATTACTTTTTTTTTTTTTTTTTTTTTTTTTTTTTTTTTTTTTTTTTTTTTGGTTATCCAGAGCTAATGTGAGAATGTGTAGACTTTTCTGGGAAATGTGTTGCACAGTACATTTTAATTCATCTCTTATAGCAAGCTATGAATCAGCTTTCATAGTGAATAGAAGATTCCTGGCAGTCAAATACTGATTGCAGGAAATTACCTTGAGGTTTCTGTGATGTATTCAGCCAAATCAAGAAAGGGAATGGTAAGGAAAGGAAAGGAAATGTTTTAACTGTTTCAATTTGGTTCCCCAGAGAAAGAAGATTTTAGCCAACCAAAAGGCTGGGATTTGCCAATGTGGATGTTAAAATATCAGAGGCTTTAAAATGGATTTAATTATTTAAAAGTATGAAGCCAAAATTAGTCTTGTGATGAATGAATACAATTGCTACTGAAGTCAATAGAAATTAGATGCATAGCCCAGGGATAACCATGTCTTATAATTAATTGTTGAACTAACCTCTGCTCCCTCCGTTCCACTGTCCTTATTTTCTTCCCTGAAAATCCCCATAATGTCTTGTACAATCACAAATAGATCTTCCTCTGCTTCATGTGATGGATCCCATACCCTGATTTTAGTAATCCTCATCAGTCTGTGAGATGCCCCAGACAGCCTGTCTCACTGAGCATCCTGGTGGGTGTCACCCCTGGACCAAAGGGATCACGGCTGTCCTGGGACAGCACTGAGAGGGGTCAAGGCTGTGCTTATTTCTCTGACTGGGTTATGGGACTTCCTCCACGTGCACACTTTCCTCTCTGCTTCTTTGCATGTGTGCAGGCAAGCTTCTTTTTCACATAACCTAACAAACAGTTGCTGTATATTTCTTAGATGGACTAAATTCTCCACTGAGAGGGTGGTTGGTCACTGGACCAGATTCCCCAGGGAAGTGATCCCAGCACCAAGCTTTTCAGACCTCAAGGAGATTCTGGACAATGCTTTTCATCATATGGCATAATTCTGCAAGGAGCAGGGAACTGGACTCAATTATTTCTATGGATCTCTTCCATCTCGAGATATTCTATGATTCTATAAATAATGCCATGAGAATAGTTACCTGAAACTGATTTATTGTTTTACAGGGATCGTCCTTCAGTGCTCAGCAACCTGAAGCTTACAACCTTTTCCTGACCACAGCTGCGGGTGATGGCATCAAACTGTGGGATTTAAGAACACTGAGGTAAGAATGAATTAGGTACCTTGGAATAAAAAACCATGCTTCATCTTTATTAAGAATTGTCATACTTGCTCTCATATACCAGAGGAAATTTAGATGTGGAATCTGAACTACAGGCTAATTGAAGTTTAATAGTTTTTAGAGACCAAACAAAGGGCTCATTCCTCAATTATAGTTAGTTATGTGGAAACCATTAAATATTTATCGCCTATGTTTACCCACCTTTGCAGATCTAATCATATGTATATAATAATGCACTGAACTGAATGCTAATGGTATTTCCAAAACAGCATGCCATTATTGCTAAAAGATCTATGATCTGTTTTTAAAAATATAAGCCAACTGCAGCAACATTTTTATAAACCATGTATACAGTGCTATAAGTTTGCGTGATACATTACCATAAACTCAGAATTAAATGCTACACTGTTGCTAAACACCTTTCAGTGTTGGGAAAGCCTCTGAACAAAGGAATAGAACATAAAGGAGGGAACATTGCTCAGGAAAAGTAATATCTGGGGCAAGCTGTGTTGTGCAGGCCAAAAGAATTATGTTTTAAAAAAAAGGGGTTTGGGCAGGAGAATCTTTAAGCTTTAAAGAAAAGATTCCTATTTGCTTTCTGTGTATATAAACATATCTATGGAAATATGTCCTATAATTTTTCTAGTACTGAGTTTTATATTTGGGCAGTGCTTAATGAGCCTTTTATTTATTTCCATCTTTCTGTGGCAAGAATGCATTAAATCTATAGGGGGCATATGTGTTCTTTCCAAGATCACTGGACTATTACCTTCACTCAGTGCCAGAAAGTAATGAAACTAGAGACTGCTGAGGTTGGAATATGTTACCTTCTTATGTTTTTCTAATAAGCTGCTCAAACTGTGTTGCTGAAGAGTAATGAAAAAGTAGAAAGCTTTTCACAGATCACTTATCTGTCTCTTTGTTTCTAAATTCTAATATAAGTAAAGTCAGTGAATGGTAAAATAGTTAAAGTGTAAAATCTGGGCAATCAATTAAATGAATATGTCTTGAGAATAAGGAACTAATTTATGTATGTTCTTGCTGCATATTTAATTTGGCTGGGTCAGTGTATTCTAATGTCCGCTGTGTTCTATTAGTCAAGCTGCAAAAAAGTAGTTCAAGTCCTTAATGAGAGATATTTTAAGGATGCTAGTGAGATACTATGTATATGTGTATATTTGTTACACATTACACAGTGATCAGTACAGAGAATAAATAGAAAAAATAAATAATTGGTTTTTACTTGCTAGCAATTTTCAAGAAAAAAAAAGATCAAACCACATTTTTTAAAATTAATTTTGCTGCCATTGCTCAGACCAGAGACCGAGTCTTCTGTACTTTAAAATCTGTTCCTGAGTTCTCAAAAGGAGTAAAACTGTTCAGTTTTTCCTATGTGTTCACCAGGTGTTTTTCACATAAATAAATTTAAAATGTCTACATTTGGAAAGCTCTGTTAGAACTTGGAACAAGTCTCTGCTGAAGTGTTAGGTCTACTATAGTTACACAGACTGAACAGTTTTGCTTATTTTTCTGTTCATAGGTTTTGTCCAATCAAATCCAGTCCATCCCTTGCACTGTTGAGTACTTACAGGAGAGATTAGCTCCTAGACAACCTTATGGTGGGCCAGTACCTTTAATCTCTGAAAGTTGTTGATTTGTAAAGTTGGTGCATCAACAACTGTTTCCAGTCCCTCTGGAATGACCTGTCTTGGTTTCTGCTTTGGGTTTGCCAGAATAGGGTTTGTTTAGTGAAATCTTTGTCCAGTGTTCTTGAAATATAGCAAAGGTAAGTCCACCTTCTCATTTATTCTGTTTGCAGTGTTGTGGATAGTACCACTAACTGCAAGATCTCCACTTTATTGTTTGTTGATTTTGTTCTAAATATTTTCACTAGATGTCCACAGTGAAAATTGTTTTGCTTTTCTTTAATCTGGTTGTTGCCCTTGAGAATGTATCCATTGTTACTTTATTTAACAATTCTGTAAAGTACAAAATTTCGATTAAATAAGAGGAAAAAAATCCCTCCAGCACAGTGCTCCTCAAAGCTGCTGTTGAAAGCATGGAAAATAACTTGCAGAATAAATGCACAATTTCCTTAGACTTTTAGGGCTTCTTTTATTCAGTTTCTTTGATGATGGTTCTTTTTTTATATGAAATGCATTCCTTTTCTCACAACTGACTGAGGAATCATAGCAGGATGCTCAGGTTCTTTTTTGATCTGCATAGATTAAATATTCAAACAGGTTAACCTGGCCTATAGCTTTGTAAGTTTTGAATATATTGATATTTTTGCTCCAAGTTCTACAAGAATTTTGCTATCCAACCTGTGTTATCAAACTACAATATTTTTCCCAGTGAAAAGTCATTTAACTTTTCTTATGTTCTTGAATTTGGTGAAATTATTTTGCAACATCAATTTTCATCATATTTTCTGGATAAGGCTGTGAATTTGTCCATCTCTTTCAGTATTGATGGTCTGGAGGCACTCTGATATTCCTTCAGAGAGTGCCAGAAAGTCTCATGGGTTCCTCTGAAGGTGGTACAAGAAAAGACATTTTAACTTTCTGATGTTGTCAGCCAACCTCACACAGCCAGGTCATCCTGCCAATAAATGAGGGAATCTTGGACACTGCCAGTGGCATTTGGATTTAAGCATACTCCTGCTCCATTTGCTTTGAAATGCATGGATTTGTTAAGTTTCATCTGAAGATTTTGAATATTTTTATACTTCTACATTCTCCTCATTTATAACTAAAGCTAAGAAAAGCTCCAGACGATCTACAAAACAGACCTAGGAATAAAGAAGCAAGGAAAATAGTTTTTCTTGGAAGAAGAAAAATATGGCTACTCTTCTTCCAGGTTAGGATAATGAACTATGAGACCTTATGAATAGATGGTTTAGAGTACGATAATGACCTTCGAACAACTTCCAAGACATTTTGAAGAGCAATTTAAGTCCATATTGTCTAAAAGAATGACTACTTTGAGAACAACTAAAATTGTTTTCTCTTGTGTCCAAGGTGAAAGCAGTGAACACAAGAGTTAGGCTGAGATGCTGTGGAAACCAGAATGAGAACATTACAGTCACCAGGTTCTTCAGGATTCCCCAAAAAAATACTTAGAAAAGCATTTAATGATCAGGATGTACAAAAAGTTAATACATTCTTGCATTTTTGAAGGAGTTGAAGAGTTCTTTGTGATGAAATCTTGCAGACTCATTCATCTGTAAGACAAAAGAAACTTTACCATTCTTTCTCATACTGGTGTGTGTACTGAATGCATTATTGAATATTAGAGACATCTCTACTCTTTCTGAAGTCAGGAATCTAGCATTGATTTATACTCAGCTGTATCTGTTGTCTCCACCAATTAGTTTTAATATCTCAGAAAGTCTGGATTGGAATGACACAAGTTTCTGAGTCCTTTAGACCACAGAGTCCAGATACATTTGAAAATTCCAATACACTAAGCCTCTTTGTCTGCCAGTCCTAACCTGTGTTGAGTGGCTATGCTCATGAAAATATAGGGCAGTGAGATGTACTTTGGCTGGAAAAAAAACAGTGCTGTAAAACCAATACACACAAAGAATGTAGAAACTTAGGAATTAATGAACATTCCATTCCCTTACAGTGTAAACTCATAACAACAGGAAATATCAGACTAGACTAAATACCAGCTGCTTTAATATGTTCATGTATCACTTAAATTTCATATGACAATTTTTAATTCTGCTTTACCAATCTGGATCCTTTCAATTTCTCATGTCCTCCCACTTGTAGATTAGATAATTCTGTGCTTTAAATATCTACAAAAAAAAAAAAAATTTCTTTTATTAATTCTGTTAGGAGGAAACTATAAATTCATTGTGTTGCACTCTTCATTAAATGCATTTAGAATATTGACTAAACACTTAGTAGCACCGTCTGCTTACTACTCACATTTGCTAGTAAATTTACTTGAATACAGATATCTTCATGACTGGCTGATAATGAGGAAAACTGCGTGTCCAGTTTTCTGCAGCTTCTCTTGCATGTTTCAATCCAAGGAGTCCATTTCCTCAAGAGAAGTTTTAGAATGTGAAGTAGTGTAAAATTTTCATCCCCAAGGCAGATTTCAGATTCCCTGTAAAGCTTTTAGGCACTTATGTGGACCTTCCTTGCTCATCAGTAAATTATGGCTAAAGCCGTAATGCAATAATGCTTCATCCTTCTTTGTGTCAGTAATTGTGTGACCTGGCTTGACCTCAGATTTTCAGATGCATCTTTACTGAAGTTACAGGCTGCACTGTGAGGACCCTCGCTGCTACACTGGGCCTTAAGTGCTCTGACCAGCCCTAGAATCACACCCATGTGCTCTCTGCTCCTTGCTTCAGGCTGTAGAAGTCTGTAGAAATGAGCTGATAGAAGCCTTATGAAGTTCAGCAAGGGGAAGTGCAAAGTCCTCTTGGCACCAAATGCAACCCCCAGGCCCCAGGATATGCTGAGGGGGGCAACTAGGTGGAAGCTTTGCAGAAAAGGATGCCAAGATGAACACGAGCATGAAATGTGTCCTTGAGGCAAAGAAGGCGTATGATGTCCTGGGCTCCATCAGGAAGAGTGTTGCCAGCAGGTTGTGGGTGGTAGTACCTCCCCTCTGTTTAGCATTGGTGAAGCCACACTGGCTCTATGTGAGCAGTGAGGGTTAGATAAGATGACCTCCATAGCTGCCTAAAAACCTCAACCATGATGTTGTTTTGTGATTCTATGAAAATAGCATTTTTTCTTTACTTGCCACAGAACAGGTGTGGGAAACTTGCTGGGGGAGCTGATGTGATATTGACCAAGAGAGCAAGATGTCCAATAATAGCTGAAATTGAAAATTAATTCAGAAGGCAGGAGAGGGACAGCTGTGCTGTGCTGTCACACGTGCTGTGCTTATTACCTACCCAGAAATGAAGAGAGTGGGGAAGAGTTAGTACAGCCCAGTTTGGAAGTCTGGGATGCTGCTTTGGTAGTGTGAGGAGGCAGATGTGGTAGGAGCTAGATTGCTGGTGCAGGTAATAAGAACAGCAGGGACAAGGTGTTAGGAAGAGCTCCCAACACCCAGCACTCTAACATCTATGGTGGCAGGAGCTGCCTGCCTCTGATTCACACTCTGATCAGCTGAGGAATGGAAGTTCAAATGTTGAACTATGATGTTTGCTGCTGAAATCACCTTTTTTCATCTCCAGAAAAAAAACAAAAACCAAAAAAGGCAGTGAGTGCTTATCATAGTGACCATAGTGAAGACTTGAGGAATATTGAACTACTTGCACATACTGAATTACTTCAGCAGAATATTCAGCTGCGCAATAATGCTTTGATGTATGATCCCAGAGAAAATCAGTTTCACCTTCTTTTAGCCTCTGGAAGAATTTGCCAATTGTATGAAGATAGTGTTAGACATTAAGGCAAAATCTCCAAATAGTGTTATGATGCTGTACAACATAAGCTCTTCTGGCAACATATTTTAGCAAAAGTCCCGCAGCCACAGGGAACTCATCTCCTACATTTTCTCACAATTGCACTTTGAGACCTTGGGGTCAGACATGCTGTTTGAATTTTGTGATACATTTCAGTTTGTATCTTCTCTGTGAACTAGCTGCTTGACATCATCCTAAGCAAGATACAAGTATACACATACTTAGAAATGGATTACTTGGTTTCTTCTGAACACACGGATCCGATGGTTTGCCATATTTATTTATCTTTTTTTTATTTTTTTAAATTTTTTTTCCCTTGAAGATTTTGAGTCTAGTTACCCAGATTCTGAGGGACAAAAGCGTGTCTGGAGTTCCTCCAAGTTTGGGACTGGAGGTGCATGAAAGTAAAGAGGATGGAGAGCACAGGGATGTGGTCCCTGATGGATGCTATGGTGAAAACATTGGGAGCTCCTGTGTGAAGGGTTTGGTGTTTCAATGAAATGAAACCTACATGTACAGTACATCGAAGGTAGCTACTACTACTGTCAAGTTATACTCACATTTTTCAGAGCCTTAGTAGATCTGCTGGTACTGAAGAGTCTGTGAACAAATACAATTGAGTACAGGCACAAAGTAACAGAAAACAAATGAAAGTGGTTTAAAAAAACAAAAAGCAACAATCTTTTGTTAGCATGTTTGTTTTTTTTTAATGCATCAAGTAGAATGAAATAGACTTCTTTGTGAGAGTATTCTCTTATCTATAAAGAGACACACATTCCAGTATCTTTCTCTTCCAAAGACAGAAAAAAATAGTACCGTTTTTATAATATTATTCATGTTTTTTTGCAGCATAAAAAGATACATATTTTGGAATGTATACTTAAAGATGTACGATGGAGAACATAGGGAAAACTTGGCTGTTTGCTGTCCCATGCAATTACCAGATGTTTGTCATGGTAACCCCTGAAAAGCTCTGATCAGAAAAGCATTCTTAGGAGGCTGGAGAGCATGCCAGCTGGCAACTTAAAGCCTGCAATAGCCAAAATAATTTGGATCACCACCTGTTGCTACTTAAAAAAATAGAATGAAAAAAACAATGCCTGAAAGAAGACAATCCCTAAAATAAGCTAAAATCATACACATAGTATCTATCTAATAATTCTATGATTTTTTTGTCCACCTTTTTCCCCATTGCTGTGATGCCTGTAGATATCTGGAGTTGTTAGATTGAGTAACAAAATTTTAACTTAATTCTGTGGCGAGTTTAATTGGTATCAGTTGTTCGGTTTCTCTAAAATTTCTTTTTAAAGTAAGATTTTGAGAAGTTGGGGAAGTAGCTGAATTTGTAATGGAACATATATCCTGATAAAATGGAAAAGTTGAACAAGAAAACAATTAAGAAAATAGAATCCAAGATATTGGTTATTCCTGTGGCTGCAGTAGCACAAGAAAAGAACACTATCCTGTGACTATATGTGACTATTATATACTACTTTATACTACTTTATACTTTATATAAAGTATATACTACTTTATACATAGTATATATATATATATACTTTATACTACTGCGGTATAGCAGAGAAAAGATCAGTGAAGACATTAGAATCTTGTTAGTTCTTCTGTTAGTTCTATTTATAGGTGAAATATTCGAGTTACTGGTCACAAATACAGAGGAGTTTCTTTTGAAAGGAAGCTTTTTGTAGTGTTTTATTAGGAAGCTCTTCTGTGAAGAAGACTCCATTGAGGAAATTATCTTTTACAGGCCTTGACAATGAGGTCTTAAACATTTGGAAGTAGTCCTGATGACTAGTGCTCTACTTAAGGAAGAATGGTGAATCTGAAGTCACCTTCAGGAGGGACAGCAGATATGAATTTTGTTTGTTTTTCTCATGAAGAAATTTCTTTCACATGATATGATGTATTACAAGTATAAGATCAAAAAGAATTTTTTTCCTATAATACTCTATGAAAAAGCACTCGGAAGAAGTTGTCTCCCTAAAATTTGCAAACAGTGCAACTGGGACTCAAGGCTAAGTTGTAGGAGTTGGATGTAGGATGAATAATGTTGTGTGGAAGCTAAGTAAGGAGGAAAATGCTGAGGAGACTGAGGTAGCTAGTATTCTCCTTTGGTGTCAATAGGAAGCTTGAACAAGGGCAGGTTATTCAGTAGATGAGATATGGCCATTGGTTACCAAAAGTCTGAATATTCACACAACAAAACTGAAGTTGAAAAATGTTTTTACATCTTAGTCCCAGTAATTTGCTGTCTGCATAAGTTGCTTCTCTTGAACTGTAGTGTTCTCTTGAGATATTTTAGCAGTTTGGGGATAGAACTTGTCTGAGGTGAAGTGTCTGGTTACTGTATGCTCAAAATGTCTGTTAATATCTGTAGTTTTGTTATACAGAATACAGTCACGTTCAGAGCTAAATAATAACTCTGAAAAAGTTAAATAAAATTATGTATTTTCATGTATTTAAAAATGTCTCTTTTATTCTTTAATAAACAATAGCAATTAGATCAGTCACAAAGTAATGTTTTTGTTTAAGTATGTCTGTTTCACCTGGGCAAATGAAACCAACTTGGCATTTAGTGCATTCTTACACATACATGCGTGTCTACAACAGAACAATATGGTATAAAAATTTAGTGCTTTCTGCACATAGGTTCACTTGACTGAATTTACATAGCTTCTGTGATTTCACTGGCCAGGAAAAAGTGTATATCACAGGAGTTGGCAGGAGATTTTACTATTTCAAATTTGTTCCTGGACTTAGCATGTATTAAAAAAAAATAATACCTCAAAGGCATAAACTTCTGAAATGAGGTATACATGTATAAATGACAGCTCTGAATGGTGTTGAAACTTGTATTAAAATGTCTTTTAATATTGAGGAAACTCTAAATATTGTTTTAACATTAGTTTTGTGGTAACTGCAAAGCTATCATGGTTCTTTACAACCATGTGGTGTTTTTTAGGTGGATATTAATCTTCATCTCATGAAAAATATTATTTTTAAATGGCCCAAGTGTGCTCAGCTATTTAAAACCTACTCTACAATGCTTGCAATATTAACATGAAAAGTAGAAAATTTATTCCTTGCATTAATTTTAAATCCATTCCTTCTTTTAAACTATTTTAACACAGATAGGTAAGAAGTTATCTACAGTTATAGGAAAGAGAGAGATTTTTCACTTTGTTGCTTGAATATTGTCTTTCTTGACTTACTATATACAATTAATTAATGGAGTAGAAATATAAATAGGTAACAAAGGTTAAATATTCAGATTTGGGGGTGAAAAAAGCAATAATTAATTATATTATGATTCCAGATATTGCATCTTCATTTGATATAAATAACTTGAGGGAGATGTATAAATCTTGGGGAAGACTTTGACAACACCTTCCCCTTAGCTAACTGATAGGGATCACAGCTCCTAATTTCTAATTATTAATGATGTTTCTACCCCTGTAAACTAAACAAGGCCAAAGCATGGGCTTGGTCATTGTCCTGGGGCAGTTGTGTCTGTTAATTTTATTTTTAGTCTTTAATGTTCTTTAATGTCTTTCAGTCTTGACAAAATCATACTGCCAGTATATTAGTGAATTTGTAGACTAAGAAAAACATGAGACCAGGAGGATTTAATGAAAATGACAGTAAAAGAGGTAATTTTTAGCTGGTGTTAATAACACTGAAACTTCTCTGTAGGTGTGAACGTCGTTTTGAGGGGCACAGTAGCCGCTGCTATCCATGTGGAATTGCAGTGTCTCCCTGTGGACGCTTTATAGCCAGTGGATCAGATGACAAATATGTAAGTAATTTTTGCCTGTTTTCCTCCTAAACTATAGGAATTACTCATATTATACCTAAAAGAGTCTTTTCAGAGGATTCTAGGATTCATCCTAATGTGCATTACTGGAGTCTATGATACTTCCATGTAGTTCCTTCATATGTAGCAGTTACATATGATTAATGACTATTTTGTCTGAAAAATCCCAGAGTAGCTAAATCTTAGCATTCAAAGTAATTCTTAAAAGATTGTTTCTATAGGTTTCCATAATTGACTCTGAATTTTCATGTGCCATTAAAGATGAGGAGAATGGTGTTCCCTGTAGCTCAGCTTTATGTGTTGTATGACCACTAGGAACTCTGTAGCAAATACAAATCAATTTACTTAAGCTCCAGGGTGATGAATCTTTTAATATGGCTTTCTTATGAACCAATTAGCTGAATAAAAAATGAGAAGTCATTAAACTGTAATTAGAACTTTCCAGACCCTTTGTGTATGTGTTTTCTCCCCAGACAGATTCTCTTCTGAATTAATGTCAATCATATTTAAATTATTTAGAAATTAATCCTGAGTGAACATGTATTGCTACCTTTTTGAGTTTTTGAATTTTAATTCAGTAATGCCTCCATTGGTGGCATAATGTTTGTCTTGCTGTTTGTGAAGAGGTGGATGATTGCTAACTTGTACTATAGGCCTTTTAAACTGGACTGGGGTCAGGTTGATTGCAAACACATCCTTTCAAAACAGCTGGGTTGGAATGCTGTTTAAATTTATTTTAGGTATTTCTAGGTTAATCATCAGAATATGACACAGGGTTTCTGGTCAACTTCAAATTCAGAACAAGAGGAATTTACTCCTCTGTCTAGTTTTGAAATATCGACTCAAATAATGTGTGAAGGTTAGAGATTTTATTGGCAGATTTCTGGATGTTTGGCAATAGGTATTGTGTTCTTGACATTTTTATGATAAAACACATTTTTCAAATTTCTGGTAAATAGCATTTCAAAATGTGGCTTGCAATACAAAAGAAGGGCTTTTTACTTTGTGAAAAAATGCATCTAATATTCATCTCAGGTTTTGTTTGGTATATATTATTTGGTATATATTATTTGGTATATATATTCATCTCAGGTATATGTTTGATATACTAATGTATTTATTAGAGGTTACTAATTAAAGTTGCTTTTGAATCATATAAAAATAGGTGCAGTCACAAGACCTTTTTGTCTTCTCTTTTCATTAAGTATTTGTTTGGAATTAGTGCTGAAAGAAGAAAAAAAGACAGCATGATTTTATCCTTACTCTAAATTCTTGTCATATGGTGGGTCATCAAAGGAAGCTGAATAGCTGGCATGTGTCCTGCTCCAGTTGGCATGTGGTTCCTGGAGGGCACAGTGCCAGTCAGTACTTTTTAGTGTGGCTCCTGGGTTGGAATTTTGCATAATTTGAGTACTATGTCTGTAGAGAACTTTCATTGTTCTTCTTGTCCCCTCAGGAGAACTGAGTCAAGATTTGGACTCTTGCTTATACTGTACTGTAAAGACAAAATGCAGTTTTGGGACATTTTTTAGGAGGCTTCCCTTTGAAGTGTTGAGACTGGATATACTTCTGTGCTTCCTTTTGAAACAGAAAATTGAACATGGCACTGAATAGTCCATTCATATTTTTCCACTAATAACATCCTGACAGATGGCTTAATGTGTGACTGGGACAGTTTTAATAGTATCAAGAAGTCACGTATTTCTGAAGGTTATAATGAATGAATGTCTACTGAAATAAGCTGCATAAAAATCAATAGTGTGGATACAAAGCATTATCTTCAAGAGAAGCATTCTGGAAATAGGTTTTGTAGCTTTCCACTGAGAAGCAACTGCATTTTCAGTCATTTTGGAGTTTACTTTGTCAAGTGCAATTCTTGCACCCTGTAGTTAACAAATGTGATTCATTTTAAAGCCAAAAGAGGCATAATTGAAATATAATTGAGAGAAATTGATCTTAAACTGCCTTTTGTATTTCACAATATCTGAAGTATTTGACAGAGAGGAATATGTTGTCTACACTGGTTAATAGCAAAATCACATTCCTACAGGACATGGAAACAGCAAACCAAAATATGTTATTGTAAAAAAAGGGATGAAAATTCTATCTGCCTTTTTTTCTAGTGTGAGGGTATGACCTGTTTTATAGAAGAGTTTGATGTAGTTTGATGTAGTGGCTGAAGTAGCCACTTGGTTTTATTTGAACTGCTCTTAGTGTGAGATTTGTAGATACTGTAAATTGGGGTTGAAAACGTTTCCCTAACTGATTACTCCAACTTCCACTAAAAGAACCTTTACCAAGACCTGTGTAAGACCAGACAGTCTGATCAAGCAGGTAACCTGGTTTTGAACTGTGATTGTTCTTTCCATAATTAGTTGTGACTAGAAAATATAGAATGTTAACACTTGCAATATCAAACCTTCTCTACATCCTAAATAGCCTAAGGTTACAAGTGAATTTTGCTGACTTTTGCTTAACTGAATACAAATAATATTGTAATTTCTAACCATTTTACAAGTGGACAGTCTAAGGTTTCTGACTATCAATATTATTAAGGATGCTGGACAAATATACCCTAATTTGGTTTAGATTTCCATTTTGCTGGATTCTGTATAAAAATGTTTACCTAAAAATTTGTTGACTAAAGCAATCTTAGTGTAAAAGAAAAGAAATGTCTGGACAGTGTGAAATGCTACTTTTTATAATAGAAATAACTAATTTTCTTTCTGTGCCATGTAGTTCTAGTTAGCTGGTTTACTTTATGTCTAATTAGGCACTAAATTTTTGTCTTTGAAGACCTTAGGGCTCTCTGAATAAATTCCAAATTTTCAGAAATGAAGTAGGGAATGAAGGAATAAATATTTATCTCTTTAATTGCTTTCAGACTCTTTCTTGTTAGCTGTCTTTGAACTGGAGCCTCTAAGAGGCACATTTTGACCCTAGTGCTGAAATTGGATTTTCTAACATAAAACTCTCTGTCCATGCCAAATCTCAAAGCCTGTGCTCGTAGCTCACACAGATTGACCCATATCACAAACCCAGAAATTCTGTCCATGCCAAATCTCAAAGCCTGTGCTCGTAGCTCACACAGATTGACCCATATCACAAACCCAGAAATTTTTCAGCATAGCAGGTTGCTGCATGAATAACAAAAAATACATGGGTAATGTATGAAGTCATCTTCCTTTTTTTTTTTGCACTTTTCAAAAAGTCTAGGATTTTGCTTACAACACTGAAACACATTCTAAATCCAAGATTAAATTCATACCTTCCAACTGTGAAGGAACCAAATCTTGAGGCCCCACAGGGCAGCATCATTGAAAGGAGTAGCAGGAGACAGGATAAAGCAATTTGATTCTTATACATAACATCAGTCTAATAACCATTTGTGAGTCTCTGAATATTAACCTTCATGCAAAATTGATTTTAGAGTAAGTTCTCATTATAAAGTGATGTTGGAAAGGGATGATGGTCTGGGGGCATATCCAAAGAGTTCTGCAAACCTGTGAGGGGTGGCTGGATGCAAATCCAGACCTGATATTGTTTGCAGGCTGAGTTATTTTCAGATGCAAGATTCTCTGTCAGGCATAACACAAACTGGAGAATTTGTTTATAGTTGACACCTTAGTTTAAGTAGCTACAGAGATTGATATTCCAAATAAAATATCAGTGCACTGAGCAATATGCTATAATGTTTTACTACCAGAAAAATACATTTGGAGGTTGGGCTGCCAGTTCTGTGCATCTGCTCTTCTTGCACTGCACTGCTTCCTAATATAATCATTGCCAAGAAGATTGTATTTCTCACCCCCCACAAATATATTACTAGTCACATTAGTCTTTCTGTGGTTCAGTTCTAATTTATAAAATGGAGATTAGCAATGGTATCTTCCTTCTTGTCTTTTATCTTTAAAAGAAGAGTTTAGATGAGGCCTGTCTCAGGTTGTTACTGCTGTAATCAGCTGCTCTGATCTTATTTATATGAAATACTTACATCCCTATGTGTCTGTGGTGTGATAAGCTTTAAAATTGCATCTGATTAGGTTGAAAATTGCATAAAACTATCTAGATACCAAGGAAGAAACATCCCAGGAAACTCCTAATGTGAATGATAAAATTGTGTGGTTGATTTTCTCCCTTTAAGAGCCCACTTCATTTTTAGGTACTATTAATATTAGGTAAAAGACTACCTTGAGGGAGTTGGCAAAGATATTCTGATATAGTTGTATGTAAATGGAAGAGATAGGACTACTTAATAGTCTAAAATATCCCTTTGGAGTGTATCTTGGAGGCATCACTGAGCTTTAAATTAGGTATATTTGATATATGATAAAGTATGCTTTAATACTTTATTGGAGAAAATAGGAAGATATTTTCTTTACTGGAAAATTCCTTTAGGAAATGTATGATATTGGAATTGTATCTTATTTATCGTCTTGGTCTACACTTCATACCAGAGGGCTTGCAGAACAGAATGTATTATATGAAACGGTGGTAGCAACTATCTGAAGTATTTTGGTTTTCAGTGTGATTGATATTCCAATTTTGCTCAAGTTTTATCTTATGTGTCCATACTGTTTAACTAAGATAAGCTTTGACAGGAAACATCTGGAGAACACAGCATTAGTCATATTTACTGTGGAAAAGACAGGACTGACATTGCTTGGCAAATCCATAGCAGAGAATGAATGACAGAGACTGTGACAGCCTCTATGCCAGCTGTTTATGGACAAAATCTACCCCTTTCCAAAGAGGAACAGAGTTTTGTTTTAGTCTTGAACCTGAGGTTTTTGAATTCCTGGGTAGTGTGTTTGGCTGTTAGGTCTATTATCCTAGAAGTGAACAGATAAATATTGTTTTCTTAATTATACAGTCATGACTTTGGGTATGCTGTTACTTGACTGTCTCTTTGGGTACATCTTTGAAGATGACTGAAACTTTTGGCCTTGGTAGGTTATTTTATGAACCATAGAGTTATGTGA